ATGAGGTGGCAGTCAGTGCCTGCACAGGCAATAGCAAAGTCATCAACATAGAGTGATGACCAAATATTTGATGAAAGACTAGAGGCCAAATCATTAATAGCAAGGAGAAAAAGTGTTGTGCTCAGAACACATCCCTGGGGGACACCTTCAGCTTGGATAAAGTCCGGGGAGAGCACATTATTAACCCGAACACGGAAATGTCTATCAGTTAAAAAGTTCTTAAGGAAGGATGGTAGATTGCCTCGGAGGCCTAAGGAGTGGGCTTGGGCCAAAATATTATACCTCCAAGTTGTGTCATATACCTTCTCAAGGTCAAAAAATATGGCAATAACTGAGCGGTTATTCGTAAAGGCATTACGAACATACGTATCCAAGCGTAGTAAGGGGTCTATGGTAGAACGTCCCTTACGAAAGCCATATTGACGAGTGGAGAGACTGTTGTGTGTCTCTAAATACCACACTAAACGTCTATTTACCAGGCGTTCCATCACTTTGCAAACTGCACTGGTAAGAGCAATGGGACGATAGTGGGAGGCTTCATGTCCCGTAGTGCCTGGTTTGCGGAAAGGGAGAACAATGGCGGATTTCCACAGCTGTGGAAGAACTCCTTGTGACCAAATAAGATTGAAAAGGCGTAATAGGACTGCAAGGGCTGACTGATGTAAATGTTGTAGCATATGAATATGAATGTTGTCGGGCCCAGCTGCCGATGATCGGCAAGCTGAGAGTGTTGCCTCCAGTTCTTGAAGTGTAAAAAGGCACATTATACTGTTCTTCTCTGAGAGAAGAAAAGTCCAAGGGTGCTAACTCTCTGGCAGACTTCGAGGAAAGAAACGAGGGGCATAGATGGAGCCCCTGAGAAATACAGACCAGATGATTGCCAATTTCATTGGCAACATCTAGTGGGTTTGCTATATCAACACTGGCAACCCGCAGAACAGGAGCCGGGTCAGGAGAATATTTACCACTCGGTTTTCGTACTTTTTTCCAGACTGCACTCATAGAGGAAGCAGAGGTGATGGTGGAGACAATCTCGCCAGCAAGTGCATTTAGCGTCACGGATGACAAGGCGAGCGATCGCACGCTTCTGCTTAAAATCAAGAAGTCTCTCCGTGGTTCTATTGTACCGGTACCTGCCCCATGCAGCGCGCTTCAAACGTACTGCACGAGCACAAGCAGGAGACCACCAAGGCACGCATTTCTGAGAATGCCTGCCCGAAGTTTGGGGTATAGAATGAGAAGCTGCAGTTAAAACGGAGGACGAGAAGAGGTGTAAAAGCTCATCAATGGAGGACGAAGAAGGAACCTCACTAAAAACAGTTAGTTGTGAGTAAAGGTTCCAATTTGCCCGATCAAATTGCCAGCGTGGGATACGAAGAGGTGGTGAATATGAAGGGGAAGTAAGAATGATTGGGAAATGATCGCTGTCACGTAAATCTGGGAGAACAGACCAGGTGAAGTCTAATGCAGCGGAGGAAGAGCAGACTGAGAGATCGATGCAAGAGAGAGTGCGAGTCCGAGGATCAAAATGGGTGTGAGTACCTGTATTTAAAACATGGAGGGGATGGGTGGCAAGAAAAGCCTCTAACTGAATGCCACGGGAATCACAGTGAGACCCCCCCAGAGGAAATGATGGGCATTAAAATCGCCAAGTAACAGAATCGGAGGTGGTAATGACGAAACAAGAATGGCAATATCCAGAATAGATAATGCCCAAGAAGGAGAGAGATATAAAGAACAGAGCGTATACCACCTATGCAAGTGGATACGGGCTGCTGTGTAATGCAGCGAAGTATGAACAAATAGCTGATGGTACGGAATATCAGTGCGTAGAAGAAGGGCACTTTCATTAAAGGTCCCATCAGGAAAAGGATCTGAAGAATACAATAAATTATAGCCCGAGATGGGAGAGATAACAGCATAGTGTAATTTTGGTTCCTGTAAGCAAACACCAACAGGTGAAAACTGGGAGAGTAACATCTGAAGCTCACCCCGATTACCCGAGGCCGCGTATATTCTACTGTAAATAGGCCATGATTGGCAATGATAAAGATACTTGAAATCCGCAGGTAAGGGTTCCTACGAACTAGAGGGGTTAGAAAAGTCCACATGCGGAGGCAGCCTAAAACGTTCAAGCAGCAAAGGAACTGTGCGCTGTGAAGAAAGGAGTTGCGCAGATGGAGGAGAGGAGAGAGAAGGAACAGAGGGTGGATCAGTGTCCATTGATGGTTTGGTCTCTGCAATATATTCAGAGATTGCTTCAAGTGTTTCGGAATTCAGAGACGTCGTATGGGAGACAATATTGGAGATGGTAGGGGGAGGATGAGTAAAGATTGGAACTGTAATGGACTGTACCAAGGTAGGGGGGGGCGAAAGGGTGGAGGGAACTGGAGAAGAAGCGTGGAAGGGGACAGAAGAGGCAGAAACCTGGGAGGTGGCACAAGAGGAAGAAACTTGGGAGGGAACAGGGGAGGTAGGTATAGTACGAGGAGGAGGGTGAACCTCTACACTTGTAACAGAGCCAATGAGAGGAAAAGAACCCGGTACAGAGACAGGAAAGGTAAAATGAGGAGGTGGAAGAAGGGAAGGAGGGGTAAAAGGACCTTTTTTTGGCTTCTGAGAAGTAGAGGGACGATTGGGAGGAGGTGTCGTACGAGGTCTCGTCGATACTGAGGCTTGTGAGGGGAGAACACGAAGAAGCGAGAACAGACTGAGGCGTTGAAGTAGGGACGTCTGAGCCTAGGACAGCAAAAGAATTAGATACAGGAGTGACTATGGGAGAGGTAACCACAGAGGAGGCTGCAGAAGATGGGACCCCAGAAGTGGGGGACGTTTTGAAACACGGGAATAAGAAACTCGAGGTAGTCTCCCTTGGAGGCGGAGATGAGAAACTGCCATGGCATAAGGGAGACCTTCTGGCTCTTTGAGGTAACGGATTTCCCGCTCATTTAAGTAGACTTGGCAATGGCGAGAGTACGAAGGGTGAGCCTCATGACAATTAAGGCAAGAGGGAGGTCGATTGCAAGACATATTAGAATGGTCATCGGCACCACAGACTGGGCATTCGGCTATGGATCTGCAATATTTCACTGGATGGCCAAATCGCCAGCAATTTCTACACTGTTGCGGTGCAGGGATCACCTTTTGAACTTGTAACCGATGTCCTGCTACATAAACTGAGGATGGGAGTTCACGGCTGTCAAAAGTTAAACGAGCCACATTGCTAGGGTATCGTCTCCGCCCATGGGCAGGAAGAACATAAGTGTCTACCTTGAGGATTGGGAGATCTTGCAGTTCCAGCTGTTCAAGAATGTCATTGCCACATGTCTGGAAATTTTGTTGAACTATGGTATGGGGCAGAATGATGGTACCACTACAAGAATTGAGGGAATGATGTTTTTCAATAGTGACAGGAACAGTACCTATATGGGAAAGAGAAAGATCATGAGCTTGGGTAGCATTCTGTACAGTGATGATGCGCGTACCGCTCTTAAGAGCATGAAAAGAAATATCTTTACGAACATGGCGTAGGAGTGCCTTGCCAATACTGTGGTCGGAAAGATAGGCGGTCGTAAAGTGAAGAATTTAGTCCATTGTGCAGTCCGAAACTGAGCGTGGAGAGAGAGTGCAGGACGTGTCGATCTTTTCTGAGAAGAACGAGAAGTATCATCAGCAGGTAATTGTCGTTGGCGTTTAGGCGTGGGACCAGAGTTGGTCCGACATGGAACGGGCCGGCGATTCAAAAATTGCCGCATCATAGAGGGAGAGGCCGGAAGCATAGTCAAAGGAGAGCAGAGGTCAGATAAATCAAAGGAGTCAGTCGAGACCTCAGTACCTGAAGCGGGTGAGGAAACAGCACCGGCAAGAGGCACAGAGGCATGAGGAGTGTCCAAAGATGAGGCGGGGTCAGAACGGGGTGCGGTATCAAGAAGGGGCCCGGGGGTAGCAGGTTCATGGATTGGGTTCTCCATGGTTAGGTTACTTCTTTCTTTTTGTTTTTAAGAAAAAAAAAAGAAAGAAAAGAAAATAAAAATAAAAAAATAATAAAAAAAAGGGGGGACCAGGGAGGGATAGTTCCTAGGAGGAATGAAAGGGCCAGAAATCTCCCTCCGCACCCAAGAGGACCTCAGCACTGCAAGTAGCATAGATGCAGCATGGAACCTGTGCCATACCCTACCCATCATGCCAGTAAACCAGCAATCTGGGATAGCAACCTCACATCTGCCAAGCTACCTCGGTGGACAAAAGAGAGGGTGGCCGGATATCCGCCACAAAGCATACCTCCTTCGACCACCACCCCCGGAATCCTAAAAGTGGCTTCCAGAGATACACCCGTCGCCCGAAAGACACCCAAAGCCACTCTCCGAGATACCGGAGAGGGATCAGGACATCCCCGGGCGATCCAGATTCCACGGCAAACTACGCCACCGCCAAGAACCTCAATGGAATGGGATGGACCCCGGTACCCTTTCCCCTACCTAGGAACTAGCGTGCCTGTGGGAAAAATCCCAAAGGCCAAAAAGAGGAAGGGCAAAAGGGAGGGGTGGGGAGAGGGAGGAGGAAAGGGAAAAGGGGAGGATGGGATAGGGAAGGGGGGATTGGGGGGTAATTAGGTTCGGTCTGAGGAAGGAGACCGACAGGTCTAATTCCTCAGACCAAGAGCCTCTTCACCACGCCAAGGAGGCCCCCTTGAAGAGGAAGAAATCCACAAGGTGTACCATTTTGATAAAGTACAAGTGAATCAACAGTGATGCATTACCAGCATACTAACTCAGATGGATAACACCAAACCTCACATTTTACCTCTATCCATTTGTCATAGCAGAGCATTGCCTGCCAAAGAGTCTGGTCTCAGGATCAGGCTCAGCATGGCTGGCAAGCAAAAGTAAGGGGAGAATGGAACACATACTGTAATGTCAATTTGTAAAATAGGTCTAAACTAGAAGCAATACTCCAATTTAAGCATATTTACTGGTTTAAAACAATACTAGATGAAGAAATACTTTATGCTCGCTTTATTATAATACATTTTAATGACAAAAGAGGAGTACTGAAAGAAGTTTCAAAATAATTAATGACATATGGTATTTAGGCCATACAAAAGTGTTACATATTGAGTGAAAGCTGCCATTCATCGGTCTGAAAAATGACACAGTACTCTATTAAAATCAGTTCCAAAAATAAAGAGAATGTATTCAGTGCAAATAATTTCAGGAGTTCCATTTACAAGAATTTTCAAGATTAACTTTAGAAATAACCTTGCATTTAATTATTCCAAAATAATATAGCCAGAAATCACACAGATGTCTTAATGTCCATAAATAAATCCACACTGATTGCTCTAGCATAAAATAGCAGTCAATTTAGCTAGAAGAGTAATCTAGCAAAGTACATACATTTCCATGGAATTTAAAGTTGAAAATCAGCATGATTATATCAAACAGTGTTCATAATTAGTTGTAAAAAATCCTACATATGGTTCAACAGCTATGTATTTTAAATGCCTTCTTTTCTGTATACAGTACAAGTGTGGTGGCTATAAAGAAAATGTTGAGCTAGTACCTAAGGTGTAACATGAAAACTAAATAGGCAACCCTGAGTATGATACAGTAATTAATGCCCTTCAATGTTATATGAAATGTTTACATTAATGCAATTTTGTAAAGGAATCCTACAGAAAAAAAAAAATTATCAGAGGGTAGTCAAAATGTTCTCTACTAGAAACAACTTGTAATTTTGAGTTCCAGCATCCCATTACCCCCCCCCCCCCCCACAAAAAAAAATAATTAAATGTGGCACACTTATTTCATTAAGTGGCACTGTCATAAAACAAAGAATCATTACTATAAAGTATTAAATAACAAGTGCATTATGCAATAAGTTTATATTACTTTAAAGAATGGAAAATTACTTCACTAATCTTATAACATAAAATGATACTCAACAATATTATATACAGTATACATATAGTATTCATAATACAGCTCTCAAACCAATTGTACCAAATAGACGAGTGAAGTACAGCATTCTGAAAAAAAAAAAGGGGGTGGGGAGGGGGAAAAGGAAAAATTTCATGGGGGCCACACAGAATTTCTACCAGTAGCCCTTTTATTACCAGTATCTTCAAGACTATAGTTCCTTAACAACAAAAGATGATACCCCTTACCTACAATCTAATATATAAATTACAGTAAGCTCTTATAAAGCAAACTTTTGTCAATGAGGCTGAAAAAGGGCACTCAAATATTAAATTGGATGTGAAAAGGCCTTCATATTATGTGCTGATCAGTTTTGTATGCACTTTTAAAATTGCATCTGCAAAAAGAGAAGCGACTGCATACTGAATGGTGATGATTGCGTTTCCTTCCTTGAGACATACTGCCTTGGTGGAAGACTGCCACCGAGTAAAAAGAAAAATAAACAAACATACATTTTATTTATACTGATGAAATTATGACAGAAATGTTTGAAGCAGGGGGTATATAGTTTTGAAGTGATAGGTACTTTTGTTTAATAAAAGTATGAAAGAGGGGAAGGTACCTAAGGATTGGCAGCGAGCATGTATAGTTCCTATATAGACAGGGAAGGGGGCATAAGAGATTGTAAAAATTATAGGGAAACAAGTTTACTGAGTATACCAGGTAAATTGTATGGTAGGGTTATTATTGAAAGAATTAGAGGTAAGGCAGAGAGTAGGATTGCAGATAAGTGAGGAGGCTTTAGAATGGGTAGGGGATGTGTAAAAGCAAGTGTTTGCATTGAAGCAAACAAGTGAATAATATTTAAATTAGGGTATGGAAGTTTTCATTGTATTTATGGATTTAGAAAAGGCATATGACAGGGTGAATAGAGGAGCAATATGGCAGATGTTACAAGTGTATGGAATATTAAGTTACTAAATGCTGTAGTGTTTTTATGAGGATCAGGTTAGTGTGTGTGGGGAAGAGAGATTACTTTCCACTAAAAGTAGGCCTTAGACCGGGATGTGTAATGTCACCATGGTTGTTTAATATATTTATAGATGGGGTTGTAAAAGAAGTAAATGCTAGGGTGTTCGGGAGAGGGGTGGGATTAAATTATGAGTAATCATATACAAAATGGGAGTTGACACAGCTACTTTTTGCTTATGATACTGTGTTTTTGGGAGATTCAAAAGAAAAGTGGCAAAGGTTGGTGGACGAGTTTAGGAGGGTGTGCAAAGGTAGAAAGTTGAAAGTGAACATAGATAAGAGTAAAGTGATGGGGGTATCATATGATTTAAAGAAAAATTGGATATCACACTGGAGAGAGGTAGTATGGAAGAAATGAATGTTTTAAGGTATTTGGGAGTCTACTTGTCAGTGGATGGCTTTATGAAGGATGAGGCTAACCACAGAACTGATGAAGGAAAAAAGGCGAGTGGTGCATTGAGGTATCTCTGGAGACAAAACACGTTATCCATGGAGGCAAAGAAGGGAATGTACGAAAGTACAGTGGTACCAACACTCTTATATAGGGGTGAAGCTTGTGTTGTAAATGCTGCAGCGAGGAGGTGGCTGGAGGCAGTGGAGATGTCCTGTCTAACGGCAATGTGTGGTGTAAATATTATGCAGCAAATTCATAGTGTGGAAATTGGGTGGTGGTGTGGAGTTACAAAAAGTATTAGTGAGAGGGCTGAAGATGGGTTGTTCAGGTGGTTTGGTCATTTAGAGAGAATGGAACAAAGTAGGATGACTTGGAGAGCGAATAAATCCTTTACCCCCCTCCCTCTGACCTTTTCAAGGTTGGAGGGAGAGGGTAAAGGAGGTTTTGTGGGCAAGGGGCTTTGATTTCCAGCAAGCGTGAGTGTGCTAGATAGGAATGAATGGAGACGAATGGTTTTTGGGACCTGACGAGCTGTTGGAGTGTGAGCAGGGTAATATTTTGTGAAGGGATGCAGGGAAACCGGTTAGCCGGACTCGAGTCCTGGAAATGGGAAGTACAATGCCTGCACTTTAAAGGAGGGGTTTGGGATATTGGCAGTTTGGAGTGACTATCTAAATTGTCATATCTGGGCTCCTCTGCAAAGACAGTGATTATGTGATGGTGAAAGTGTTGAATGATAATGAGTTTTTTTTCTTCCTTTCTTCCTTTGGGGCATCCTGCCTCAGTGGGAAATGGCTGACACGTAATAAAACAAAAATAAATAAAAAAAATAACATGTGGTCTTCGAAAAATATAAATCAAAGAATCACTGAAAAAACTATACACAGCAAGATAACTAACTGTTCAGAGGAAAGCAGTTTAATAACAGTGATAGGTACAGCACGGCAGAGGAGAATTCACATCAGATGGCAGTTTCAACATGGCAAACAAAGGAAAAGTTACCAGCTATTTTAATAAACTTAATACTGCATGAAAAATGGAAAATTTTTGCATAAAAAATTTGTAGGAAGTAAGTACACTTATTACACTATTAATATAGATATAACTAGAACAGTTTAAAGGCTCTACCACAAAAAAAAAGAAAAATTCCTTTATACAATAATTCACATGCACACACATAACAAAATCTATTCTGAAAATGTACAGTAACTAGTATAGTTAAAATTTGGTAAAGACTTTCGTTTCTATTAGAAACCTTTAGCCATATGAAATTTATAGATCCACATTAGTTCAAAAGTGCACTGCACCTTTGAAATGGATATCAATCTCTTCCTCAATTTGCATTTTTCTTTTAACTTCTTAGCACAGAAGAGTTCACTTTACAATCTAAGCATGCTCAATGTTACGTTGAGGATGTGAGCATATTCTTGAGTAATTTCATTCATTAACTTAGTACATTTAATGCTAAGTATTTTTTCCTCTTACAGCTGAACCAAGATCTCATTGCTGCCTTGCTCCCTTTAAGACCACCACCCTTTTCATGAAAAGATATGACCTTATGAAAATTTTCCTGATTCAGTCATTTGAAAGACAAACATTTGCTGAAGAATTCTTCATACTTATTTGGCTGTTATATTTAAAAAGCTGTTAACCACATGTACAGGGAAGCAAGAATGTGAAAAGGTCAAAGAATACCTCTGCAAGTGCATGGGGGATTGGGGGGGGGGGGTAAATAGAATAGAAAAATGAAATGTAAAAATCAAATTATGGAGAGAAAAATGCAAATCAGAAAGTAGAATTAATATTACATCAAAGCAAATCTGTTGGAGAATGGAGCCATTAACCCTCTGAGGGTCAAGACCCCTGCTTGCAAACTTGCTCCCAGAGTGGGGGGAGGGGGGGGGATTACAAAATGATAATCTTTTTCTGAAGGTAATGACACCAAAGGTGAGAAATTTGATGGAAAACTTACAGAATTACGCTCTCGCAAAGTTAGAGGTCTCTGCAATATTTACGTATCGAGCCCTATTTTGGGGCAATTCCATTGTTCCAGTTGACCAAACTCATCCTTTTATTCTATCGATCGAGTACAAGAAACTGCTGAGTTACCTACTTCAACTACCCCAATAAAGTGATCAGAATTTAATTTGGCCAATTTCACACAAAATTCAAGAAAGGCAAATTTCAAAATAGGGTCCAGATTAAATAATGTAGACATTTCTGGCACTAAAATAAAATTTTCTCTGTTCATCAGTCATGTCTCCAGGTCCCTCTTACATTACGCTTCCTTTTCACTTTGAATTTTTATTCAAACAATAAAATAGAAAATTTACTGTTATTCAGACTACTGCATAATGGTAACAATTGTATAAATAACGTCAGTGCATTCGTGAGTGCATATTAGGCCAGCCAGTTGATGTGTATTGGATGCGTGACGTGTTTTGTTTACTCAAACATTGGCAAAAATCGAACATTTCTGCTACTTTGAGCTTAATTTCAAGCTACTTTATTGCATAAACCCTTCAAAATCATCTCTATTTCTGTAAGATATCTTCCATTCTATCAAATGACACAAAGAAACCAAGAATACAACCATAAAAACCATACAAAAATATACTGCAAAGTCACTTTTTACACCAAAAACACAGTCGCAGTTTTTTTTCTCAATATGCACTGCATGCTGTAGGATTTTTTTTATACTCCGCACACTGACCACGCAGACCCATTCTCTCATATGTAGGCCTACCAGCTTTGTCTCGCAAGATTGGGAGCTGCTAGAATTTGGGTAGAGTATTATGGGACTGATCCTGGCTTCAAAGCCGTAATTTTATGGGACCGACCCTGAAAGGGTTAATTTACCTTGTGTGCATCAGAAATCTGCAAAAGTTGCTTCTATATATTTCAATTATCTGAACTGCTAAATATTAATAATAATAATAATAATTTGCTTAAGTTCCTCTCAATGCTGTTCTTATGAACTTAATTTGACTAATTAGTAATTTACAATGCATTATAAATATTTTACACCTTAAAAATTTACAATTTGAGCCAAACACTTTAAAGCCTCAAGTTAAAGTAAATTTTAAATGGATAATTACTGAAAATAAGTTAGATGTTTACTTAGAAGTACGAACTGTCTATGAAAGATAATTTAAAATGAGGATTACAATATTTACCATCAAGAAGCTCAAAAATTTTATTAGTGCACTAAAACTATTATGAAGAAATTAAATACTCAATATGACTGAACCATTAGTGATTTTCAGATAAAATACTTTTATTGCACATCTTTTTAACTTTAATACTGTTTTTTTTTCGCAACTACTTTTATAGTCATTCTTAAACAGTAAGACTATAACCAATGATAAATGCACATTCATCTGTTAATGCCCTTTTAACCCAAAAATGACAATTGAATGTGTTCACACAGGCCTTTGGCACAGCCACAAAAATTTGCTGACTGCAGCTGCTGCTTAAATATTGGCCTCTGTTATTGCAACTTCATGAGATACTACTATTCACTGCTATTTATACTTGTTTACAGATACTGCCAGAACTGAAAATGTTTCAGGAAGAGCTTACATGTGCCATCCTGTTTCATTTACAAGCCACCTAAAACATGTTTAAATTTAAAAGAGCTTATATCAACAGTAACATTACAGACAAGCAAATTTGCATGAACTTACTATCCGAAAAATTAAATGTTATTTTCTTTAGCCAAACGAGTTTTTTTTTTTTATCTTGTTTATATAAATAAATGGACATGTCTTTCCAATACATGACCATCATCCCACAATGGTTAAATTTTTGTAAGGCATATTGGAGCAATAACCTTCCAAACATTTTTCAATATTTTGACCAAAATAAAATGTCAAGACTATAAATAATTCAAATATCAAACTGTCAAAGCAAACTTCCAAACACTTACAATACATTAAACTTGAAATAGGCACTGTATCCAAGGTCTCAAATTTACATATATACTATGTACAGCAATAGCAGCACACATTCAAATAAGCTAGAAGCTGTATTTTCTACATTCTATGTACCTAAGCCTTGCACCAGAGATAAGGACCCTCCAAATAGATACAACTTGACCAGAAATTAGCTTTTAATTTATGAATATATGTAATGGTTAGGCAAGACATGTAGTACCTATCAAAAAAAACTGACAAGAGAAACTAACATCACACAGGACTCCCAAGAATACAATTAGCAAATACAGATTTTGACAACTACTGTATACAATTTTGGTGACTACACTGACTTTGCCTGCTAATGACCCATTCTCACTGCAAAGAAACAATGTCAGGAAGAGACACTGAATATCATCTACTTTAGGGATGCACACAACCAAGGTAGGTACACTTCTGCTACAGTAGCAGCACACCACCTAACCACTTAAAAAGAAAGAAAAGAGAGAGAGAAAAAAAAACTGGTATTACTGAATTATTAATTTCTGTACCTTAACTCTTAACATTCTTAATAAGGGAAGCCATTTACTCGGCAAGCATGGAAACAATATCAATGTTTTCCACGTGTTAACTAGTATCTCAGTGTAAAAACTGTTTTAAGTATATTTCTTCATAACTGTAGGCTAAGACTAGAATTTGGTGTTAACAAATAACTAAAATATATATATATATATTTATATATTTACTGTATATAAATAAAAATTTACACATCTACATACTTTTTCTTAAGTGGGCTGGGATAACTCTGAAGAGTCATCTCATCACAGGAGAACAAGTGACCACCTCCGTAGATAGCATGTAGTATTATGCTGCTCCACGCCATTGGCAGCTGGAACCCAACCCCAACCCAAGAACTGCTATACACAAAACATGATCCAAATAACAAGTGGTCCCCATCAAATAGCAAGAGGATAAATGCCACACTGTCTAGCTGCTAGTCTCAATACACTACTGAAATACTGTACATGTAATTTGTCCAGACCACTGTCAAAGACCATTACCCATCATTTGTTAGTAAGTCATTATTTATAATTCAGTTTTTGAACACTCATTATATAAATAAAATTTATTACTTTTTCTCTGCTTAAAATTTTTTTTTATCAAGATACTTGCATGGTTAAGATGAGGTATATACCTAAAAAGTAATTACTTAATGAACTTGTGAAAAACACTGCAAAACCCCAATCATTTTCTATATGTATATTTAGAGATTAAACACCGATCGTCAACAGCAAGTCATACAAATTCTATTATCTCATGCGCACACACCGATACACTTAAGTAGGTGTAATAACCTATTTTAAAAATAGGAAAATGCAAAATAGATAATTACAACTCACTTAAGCTATGACATATAATGACTAAATATATTCAACTATTACTGTAATATGTACTGATTTAGATTTTCATTATCAGTTTTCTTACTTCAAATCTGCACTCAGTCTTTCCCAGGAAAATAGTCATCTTCAAATCAGAGATTTTAGTGAACTAGCGCACATTTTCTACACTAGGGCATTAGCCATACACAATACAATGATATGCAGATCTTTATCACTGGGTTGGAGGGGTTGAGAGATATCACTTAATCCTTGTCGTATATACACACACTTGGAATTTTTATTTGATTACCCGATACAAAATTTACATTTTTTTTTTTACCATTCATGTACATCTCAAAGCATTCAAAATTATCTCCCTATTGATGCTATTACTTACATAACAAAACTGCTCAACATATCTTATAAAACTTTCTCCGACATTTCAGAAATTGCGATGCCTATGAATGCCGCTATTATAAGCTGTCATCGCTCAAACTCTCCATATTCGGCATTTGCTGAGGCTCTAAGATAAGGGATTCATGTGAAGATTCTGCAGGAGCCAGAGAACTACCTTCACTACCTGAAACATAAAATACGTATCTAATATTAACAATACATAATTTCACAAAAATCAACTTTAGCAACAAGAACATTAACTGGAATCATATAAATGTCTTTGCAACTGCCCAGGAAGGTACTACCATCCTGCCAACAGAGTGTAAAATAGAAGCCTGTACATAATTGTTTTATGTGATCGTAGGATTGCTGGTGTCTTTTTTTGTCTCATAAACATGCAAGATTTCAGGTACGTCTTGCTACTTCTACTTACACTTAGGTTACATTACACATACATGTACAAACATATATACACATATCCCTCTGGGTTTTCTTCTATATTTTTTTACTAGTTCCTGTTTATTTCCTCTTATCTCCATGGGCAAGTGGAACAGAATTCTTAAACGGTTTAAGTCATGCATGTCGTAAAAGGTGACTAAAATGCCGGGAACAAGGGGCTAGTAACTCCTGTATAAATTACTACATCTGAGGAGAGGAAACTTTTGTTTTTCTTTTTGGGCCACCCTGCCTTGGAGGAATATGGTTGGTTTGTTGAAAGAATAAACAAGTGTCTTTAACCCTTTCAGGGTCAACACACCCTCTCAGAGACTTGTTCTCAGGGTTGGCCCTGAGAAAAAAAAAAATTCTTATGGAAAGAGAATCTTTTCCTGATCATAAGGACACCAAAAGTATGAAATTTGATGGAAAACGAAGGAATTATGCTCTCACAAAGTTAGCGGTCTCGATGATGTTTAAGCATCGGCGATTTTGCCCATTTTGAGCCCTATTTTTGGCCAATTCCAGTGTACTTGTTGACAATAATCATAACTATTTCGCTAGAACTCCATTTTTTCTATCGAAGGAGTACAAGAAACCACCCATTTACCAATTTCAACTATCCAATACAGTGGTCAGAATTTAGCAATTTTGCCAATTTCACACAAATTTCAAAAGATGCCAATTTCCAAATAGGGTCCAGAATAAACAAGAAAGATATTCCTGGCACTAAAATAATATTTCCTCTGTTCATTAGTCACGTCCCCATGCCCCTCTTACATTCTTTTGCTTTCCACTTTGAATTTTTATTCTCACAAAAAAGAAGATTTACTGTTATGCAGACTACTGCACTGGTGTAGAAATGGTATAAATATTATCAGCGCACTTGTGAAAGAATATTAGACTCACCAGTTGACGTGTATTGGACACATAGCATGATTTTTTTACTTCTGAACTTTGGTAAAAATCGAACATTTCTGCTACTTTGAGCGCAATTTCAAGCTAGTTTTCTTTGTAAAACCAGTCAAAATCATCTCAATTTCTGTAATATGTCTTCCATTCTATAAAATGAGACCAGGAAAACTAGAATACAACAATAAATACCATACAAAAATACAGTGCCAAGTCGCTGTTTTAATCCAAAAACACGGTCAGTTTTTTTTTTCTCATTACGCACTGTGTGCTGCAGGATTTTTTTTATACCTCGCACACTGACAACATAGACCCATTCTTTCATATATAGGCCTACCAGCTTTCTCTCACTAGATCTGAGGGCGCTAGAATTTAGGCATACTAGTACGTCAAAAACCCTGGTGTGTAAGCCATACTAGTACAGCCGAAACCCTGAAAGGGTTAACCCTTAAACTGCCACACACGATCAGTGGGTGTGCATATACTACCACACATATAGATCAACATTAGAATTCTAGCTCGCTCAAAATGTCAGCAATCAGGAACGTCAGGCCTACACAAGATAAATTAGGTCTGCGTCATTGGTGTGTTCACCAACGAAATAATTCCTCTACCATGCAGGGCACTGTGGGAGCAGTTTGCCTTAACAAGATACCATACCAACATGCCTCGTCCTCAACATTCCCTAACTCCATGGACTACTGGGTATTTGCTCATAGCCTTGGCTGATTCTAGTACTGAAGATAGCAATAAGGACTTGGAGGTGTATGAATATGAAGATACAAAGTGCTGCTGTCACTACAGATCCCCCATCAAGCGAATTCCTGATGAGCTTCGTAGCACTACATAACACAACTTCATTTCACTGAGAAGACGCTTGCCCAGATGTGTTATGTATGTTCAAACACCTCCAGAAAAATAAGGAAACAAATGGATATACGATTCATGTGTAAAACTTGAAAAATTAAATAGTGCAGGAACCCTGCTTTGAGGAGTTTCATAAACTATCAACTGTAGTTGGCATAGTGAACACTGAGTACAGTGTACAGTGCATATACGTATACAATTAACCCTTAAACTGTCCAAACGTAGATCTACGTCCACATGCGTGGGGCTTCGAACGTAGATCTACTATTTTTTTTTACATGCTTTCAAATGGGGTAAATAAAGGTCGGAGTGCTACGCATGTGAACGTAGATCTACATTTGGACAGTTAAAAAAAAAAAGCCAGTAAAAATTTTATTGAAATAAAAAATGACTGAACAATAAATATGGTTTTGAAGTTGGCCCCAAACCCCTCAAAATCCCTCTTGGACACATTCTGGCCACAATTTTCTCCAAGCAGAGTTCAAAGTCCTGGAAGTCACTCCCTCCCAAGCCTTACCTATAAGGTTTATGCAATGGAGGATAATGAAGTGATCTTCCCAGAACTCTCCTAGGGTCAATTCAGTGTCCGAGGTTATGTCAAAGCGCCTCTGAAATACTGCTTTGGTGTAGTTTTTTTTAAAGTTTTAAATGACCTGCTGGTCCATGGGCTGGATGAGAGAAGTGGTATTAGGATGCAAGAACTTCACTGTGATGAAATGAAACTCCTCCACAATCTGGTCATCCAAGTCTGGATGAGTAGGAGCATTGTCCAGTACCAGGAGGCACATGAGTTCCAATTTATTTTCCAGGAGGTATGTATTTCTTTACACTCAGGCAAAACACTTCATTGAACCAATCAAGGAAAATTTCCCTAGTGACCCATGCCTTACTGTCTGCCTTACATATCACACACAAATTACTCTCGGCGACACTGTTTTTCTTGAACACACTGGGATTTTCTGAGTGATACACCAGTAAAGGCTTCGCTTTGAAATCCCCACTAGCATTACTACAGAACATGAGAGTTAGCCTTTCATAGGCTTGTGTCCTGGGAGTGCCTTTTCCTCCTGCGTGATGTAGGTCCTCTTTGGCATTTTCTTCCAAAAGAAGCCTGTTTTATCACAAATGAACATTTGTTGAGGTTTGAAATGTTCAGCCTCAATGTACCCCTTGAATTCCTGAACATATTTTTCAGCTGCATATTTGTCAGAACTTGCAGCCTAACCATGCCCTACCAACTGTATGCCACTATGCTTCTTAAATCTCTCAAACCAGCCTTTACTGGCCTTAAATTCACTAACATCAGCACTAGTTCCAGGCATTTTCTTTACGAGATCATGCAACTGCCCTGCCTTTTCACAAATTATCGACTGCATAACACTATCTCCTACTGTTTTTTGCTGATCCACACCAACAACAAAGTCTCCACATCTTTGAGTATTTGTGATCTCTGTTTTGTGAGCATATTAGCACCTTTCACAACAACAGCTTCCTTGATTTCCCTTTTCTTGGCCACGATGGAAGCAATGGTTGCATGGGGTTTCTTATACAACCAGGCAAGCTCTGCCACACGTACTCCACTTTCATAATTTGCAATGATGTCTTTCTTGAATCTATACTGTTTCTCACCTTCTTTACCAAAGGGTTGGCACTAGAAGCTTTCTTTAGGCCCATGGTGGCTTATTTAGCAGTTGCAAGCCCAAAAAAGAATGGAATATTACGAAATGTATCGTATGAACGTGTGGGGCAACGGTCACTTGCTGATAAACAATGGCAGACTGACTGTGAATAGTGTGGGATGGTGTGTGGGGCCGCTCATACATGTTTGGGATGAATGACTATGATCGAGGTAAATGATTATCACTGAGCCAATATTTTGATGAAAAAACATTACGATTACCGAATATTAAGAAATCCAACGACTACAATATCCGAAGGTCCATTGTAATTATAGATATATATATAAAATTATATATACGTATAGTGGTACCTACACTCTTATATGGGTGTGAAGCATGAGTTGTAAATGCTGCAGCAAAGAGGAGGCTAGAGGCAGTGGAGATGTCATTTCTAAGGGCAATGTGAGGTGTAAATATTATGCAGAGAATTTGTAGTGTGGAAATTAGGTGGTGTGGAGCTATAAAAAGTATTATTCAGAGGTCTGAAGAGGGGTTGTTGAGGTGGCTTGGTCATTTAGAAAGGATGGAGTAAAATAGGATGACTGGGAGGGTGTATAAATCTGTAATGGAGGGAAGGAGGGAGTAGGGGTCATCCAAGGGATGGAGGTAGGGAATAGAAGAGGTTTTGGGTGCAAAGGGCTTGGACATGCAGCAGGCATGTGTGAGTGTGTTAGAGTGAATGGAGACAAATGGATTTTTGGGACCTGACACACACACACACACTTTTTCAAAAGGAAAAAAAAAAAAAAAAAAAAAAAAAGGTATGTATGAAACTGCAAGCATTAGGATGCAACCATGTTATCATGTAGGGTTTGAACACGTGGATAGGGTAAAGAAATACTCATGTAGGCTGGTAGTACGTATAATTATAACGGTAAGTATTGGTAGGCGCCAAACAGCCGGTGACCTGCCTCCTTGCGCTCTCTCGTAAGACTGACTGCCCACATTATTATTATTATAATCAAAAAGAAGCGCTAAGCCACAAGGGCTATACAGCGCTGCAGGGTAGGGAAGGAAGCGAGGGTATTGGATGGCAGAAGGGAGGAGGGATGATCAGCAAGTTACAGAAAACAGCGGGGCAGGGGATAGTACAGGGGTAGAGGGAAGCAAGAGATTGAAATAGAAAGGGCTGAAGGTATCAGAATTTGTGAAGTAAGTCAGTTGTTGTCAAAAAGTCAATGAGAGAGTCTGGATGAAAGGTGGGTCCATCAGCGAGAAGGGAAGGTAAAGAGAGAGCAGCGGAGCGAAGACGACGACAGAGGTAAATTCTGCGTGCTCGTTGATAAAGTGG